GAATAACGTCGTCGTGCTTGAGCTCATCGATGAGCACAGCGATGGGGTAAAGCTCGTCATTCTGATTTGCGTCCATGTCGGGTGGGTGAATGTGTGTCTGAGGAGTGTAAGTTTGTGAGTGCGCGGTGGGAGTTGGGCGCGGGCGTGGTGTTGACGTACCTGGTGTTGGCGAGGAAGCGAAGAGGGGTGTCAGGGCATCTGGGCAGGCACTCGAGAGGAGGACCGAGCTTTTCAGCCACCACAGCCACAGCTCCAGTATTTGGCACAACGACCGTCGAGATACATTTTGCGGCCATGAATTTTCGAACCAAAGCAGGCATAACGTTAAGCTTACTGTGTCGTTTTACGTCAAAGGTAGAATAGACTGCCTTCTTGTCATGCCGTACGTAGCAGCGCACACTCTGAATTTGGCATTGCAGATTTGTGGCTCACACCGCCACATTCATGGAGGTGATTCACTACAAGTTAAACCAGAAATGGCTAGCTACTACAATTACAACTACGTCCTATCGGCTACAATACCTCAAGAGAAAACACTAGGACATCGATAATACTGCGATACAAAAATTGGAGTAATGGCACAACTACAGTGTTTATACAATACCACCCCCACTTCTGCCAAGTGCTGCTGGTTTCTCAGTCTGCTTTTTGCTGTTGGGAGTACAACTCTAATATTGCGGCTCAACTTGGTGCAATTCGACCAAGCCTCTTTGGTCTCTCCCTATACTGAACGGCTCAAGAGTATAATGCTGCCCCACCCTGTTGCGTCCATCGATACAAGTTATCTTCAACAATTGGGAAGAGGGCAGGGCATTGAGATAAACCGCCAAATTTAAGATAGCAGAATCTACAGATACTTGAGCCTTATTCACCTATGATGCAATTCTTCCCTATAGCCATGACTTTCACAAACTTTGCCATAGAAACGATTGATGTTCCGTCTCACCAAACTATCTCCAAAACAGGTTTAGCGCTGCTTCTAAATCCAGAGCGCAAGAACTACCCCTAGTTAACGAATCAACGCAGCTACTTTTCCATACTCGCTCAAGAAAAGGAGATGTCAGCCGAGTCCTATTTTTCACATTCTAAGGACAGAGGTAGTCAGCTGCCCAAGAAACCTAGTCAGGAGCTATGCTCGATGAGAAAGGTCACGATAGATCTTTCGCTAGCGTGCGGGGCCAATCGGAAATGACTAAAGATTGGTTGCAAGAACGGCCGTGAACCTTGGTCAAAAACCAGTATTGGGTGACACAGTGCAGGCTCTATCTCCAAGCCACCTCCATCTCTTCAGCAGCTGGACATTTCGCGATGGACGACGCACGCAGTATTGACCGTTCTGGAGAAGAGCCACCCAAGCCAAACGCTACTGAATCTGACCCGTTACTTGTACGACAAGATACAGCTCCATCCGCCCCACGAGTGACCCAATTGCCCAAACAACTCACCACACGCCACGCATTTGCTGTCCTCGTTACTCTGCAAATAGGTTCAGGTATCTTTGCGTCACCGGCACAAGTCGACAGCAATGTACCTTCTCCAGGTGCTGCTCTCCTGGTCTGGGTACTTGGCGGGCTGCTCTCATGGGCAGGAGCTGCATCTTTCGCAGAACTAGGTGCTGCTCTACCGCTCAATGGCGGCATGCAGGAATATTTGCGCCACGTTTACGGAGATACCGCTGCGTTCCTTATGGCTTGGGTGTACATCCTAGGCGTGAAGCCCTCATCTATGGCCATTCAAAGTATCGTTATCGCGGAGTCTATTGGTTCAGTCACAACCAGCTCAGATAACTTGCCAGATGCAGGATTACTCAAGCTGATTGCTGTCATTGTTTTTGTTGCGATGGTATTGCTCAACTCCATCAACACCAAATTCACGATGAGATTGAGCGAATCATTTACAGTCTTCAAGCTATCAACAGTCATCTTGATAGTTCTCGGCGGGCTTATTGCGGTTATCGCCCACTTTGTGAACCCGGAATCTCATCTTTCTGGTTCTAGCGACTGGTACTCAAAGAGTTGGTTTCAACCGAGACCAACTACATCGGACGGTCAAGTTCTTGACTGGTTGTCTATGGGCGCTTGGGACCGCTATGGCCATTATTGCGCGGCCATTTACGGTGGATTGTGGGCTTATGATGGATGGGACAATGTAAGTCTGCACAAGCTGTACACGCGTTTGGCTGGCTGACGACGACTTAGGCCAATATCGTAGCGAGCGAAATTCGCGATCCAGGCCGTGCCCTCCCAAAGGCAATCAAAGCTGCAATGATCGTAGTTCTTACTTCCTTTGAGCTGGTCAATATCGCGTACTACATCCTCGTGCCTTGGGAAAAGCTGAGTAGCAACAACGCAGTTGCAGTCGCCGCTGGAACGGCTCTTTTTGGGAGACCTGCCGGCATCATCATTACTCTACTCGTTGCTGTTTCCTGTGCGGGGTCAATCACCAGCAACGTGTTCTCAGTGGGCAGATTAACCATGGCTGCATCACAGCGCCATTACCTTCCGGCATTCTTCAGTCAAAGGGGCATGCCACTGAGGCAAAGAGCTGGTAGAGATGACACTTTGTCACCCAGATTCGATGCTCCAATGTAAGACCACCCGGTAATCTATTCTACGCTAAGGCCTGCTAATATAACCCACAGATATGCCAACGCGTTGGCCCTTGTGGTAACCCTATTATACATAATGACAGGTAGTTTTCGGGAACTGCTAACGTTCGTTGGTATGGCCGAGTGGGTTTTCTATGTCAGTACTGTGGTCGGACTCCTTATACTTCGCCGCAGAGAGCCACAACTTGAGCGACCTTACCGTCCAACTACCATTCTCCCAGTCACATTTGTGATTGTAGGTACATTGGTTATCGTAAGATCTGCTATATTTGCTCCTGCACAGAGTGGAGTGTTGGCGGGACTGTTGGTAGCTGGTGCCTTGGTCAGTAGACTGCGGAGCAGCCGAAGATCACAATGATCTGAGGGGGCAGCAATTTCTCTTGAGCGCATGAACAGCCCCTCTCAAAGAATACAGCAATAGCACAAAGCAATGGCGAGTATATAATCTCCAGAATCAATCCCCTATTTACTCAAAAAATAATTCAATCCAATCTGCATCACGTACGCAATGATGAAGGTGCAATTAAACCTCAGGAGTCCAGGCCAGGAAAATATACGATAGAGCTAAGCAAGGTTCTTGCATACGGATCCAAGGCGCTAAACAAAGGAGATCCATCTCACCCGGCACTGTTATGCTTTTCACCGCAATGTAATTTTATCACAAAGGTGGCTGCCAAAAGTTTCGGCCTTTACAGAGGTAGCGGCTATAAGTTCTTGCTAGCATCATCTCTATTAGCTCAAGGTTCTCTACTCAGAGAGGAGAAGCCCAAATTCCAACTGCAACTCTGAGAATATATTTATATAATCAATATTATATGTAGTGTTCAAAAAAACTATCTTAGAAAAGAAAAAATGAGAGAAAGGTGGAGATCAAGTGTTGTGGTGGCGGTATTTACAGCAGTACGATAGTAAATCCCTTGTCGGCGACAACTTTTAACCCTGTCGGCCGAAACTTTTGACAGCCACTTCCAGGTCGCGATCGGCATCGTGGCATCCTCGATTCCCATGTCAGCAGGGTGTGAAAGATGGAATTACTTACCAATCAATTACCTCAGAATATACGCTGTCGCATTTACCACCGCCACGGTACGTAGGGCGACACTAGCCGGCTGTCCCGGCTGCAGATCACCCATTCACTGAGTGAGATGTATATCGCCAAGCCACACAGTTACTTCAATGCGGTGGCAGTGTGCAATAGCCATTTTGCTGACGTCAAGCACAGTGACGACATCGTAGCACGGCTCCTGTGTGTCAGATCACTCTTATCTGAGGTACTGTGATTGTTAGACGTCGGCGAGGCCCAGCAATTTACTGTCCTCAAAGGTAAAGGGGTTATGTTGTAGAGACGCTAAAATGATGATCAGGATCGTTCTCGGATAGTTCTCGGATAGTTCTATTCCCAACTTAACACAGAGAAATACCAGACCGTTCTGAAAAATGTCAACGGTGGAGGCTACACTATTTGCAGCATAGCTCTTACTTGCTACCCCAGTCCGGACTACCCCTTACTAGCGGCGTATAAACACAGTAGACTACCGAGCATACGCTTGGCAACCGCACGCATAACGGTTCCTGACAGGGTTGCTCCCATACCCAGTCGTTTTGAGTGTTGTCAGATTGGATCCTCAGTAGAGATCGTTTGGTCGCGTTCCCAATGCGGGTTCTCGTTCCCCAACCGCATCTGGCACAGCCAGCCGACGTGCAAAGTAACTTCGGACTACTGATCGCTAATTCGTAATGTGATCCCCCCAAATCAATATTTCATTTTGCTCTCTCTTTGATGCCTGTCCGGCTTTAAAGATTTCCCGAACCTTCTTCTCTCCGTTGCTGACAAGGCGCTACTGACGACAAGTGCTCACAGAGATGGTTACACAATCCACAAAAACAACTCAAGCCTTATGTCCGTGTCGGCTCGGGAACAGGATCAAGCAGTACAGCATGTCCTGAAAGCTGAATTTTGGGGGAGGATATACATGTCTCGTGCTTGCAAGTTGTGTAACACAAGGAGACACTTATGACTATTGTAGGGCTGGATCGAGAACTCCACAGCCCAATGGATACGCGACGATCATCACATCCTTACACGTGATGTTGGGAGATCACCAACAATGTATTTGCGATTCCAACGTCTCTTGGTGTTCTGCACAAGCTGCGGAGTAATGAGACACGCAAGGGTGGACCTTGTGAAGTTGAACTTGCGCCCACCATGTTGCATCCATACGACGTACGGCGCACATACAATGCTCCATGGACGAAAACCGACCTAATCAAAACTTGGGAAAAAGCGGCCAGAGAGACCGCGTGGCCTGATCAGTGCACCGGAAAGGAACACGAGTACTCCAACTGATGAAAGATATAAAAGGAGGTCACTACCTGCACTGCCAGTTGAACCATCATTAGCATCAATTAGCAGCTTCAGCATCCTGTCTTTACCTTTAATCACACTCTTTTAAGATCTCTCCTTAAAAACCTTTTAATTTTCAACCATCCAACATGCGTTACACTATCCTCGCCTTCGCTATCGGCGCCATTGCCGCTCCCCTCACCGATTATCCTACTGCACTCTGCCCTGCTGGACTATACAGCAACGCTCAATGCTGTGCCACTGACATCCTTGGTGTCGCCGCCTTGAACTGCCAAAATCGTAAGTCTCTCTTCTATCTAGCATCACTTGGCTTTAATCGCACGACACTAATTGGTTGTTGTAGCAACCACTACTCCCACTAGCACGGGTGACTTCATCAGCGGATGTGCGGCTGTGGGTCAGCAAGCCCAATGCTGCGTGATCCCAGTTGCAGGCCAGGCTCTCCTTTGCCAGGATGTTAGCCCCAGTGGTAACGGAGGCATCAATGGCGATGCTAACGGAGGCAACACCGGTAGTGCTAACGGTGGTGCTAATGGAGGCAACAACGGCAGCGCTGATGACGGTGGTGCCAACGGAGCTACCGGAGGTGGTGCCCAAGCCGTTCAGACTCCTACTTCCTCTCCTGCTTCCCAGGCAACCCCCTGCCCTTCTGATGCCCCTAACTAGATATCAGAGCAAGCGGATTGTGGAAGGCGGAGAATACGGGCGGTGCAAGCGTGGGATAGATAATGTGTAGTGAGATAATTAGGATTGTACTGTAGCGTTTGACAGTTACATCTGCAGGGATAGTATTCCGTATTCAACGTTGATCTACCTGATTTCTCTCTTTTTTGATTTGTGGGCTGAATTACGAATCCGGGTCATCCACGCGAATCCGGGATTGCGATCAACACTGACTAAGTTTATTGAGGATTGGCACTGAAGAACATCACGCGTTGGGCGTGGTAGTAAGATTCGAAAAAATTCAGACAACTATCCATGCATATCTATTCAACTTCATAGTGTATTTGGGATTAATACACAAGTAACGCGATATGCCCCTTCAAATTCTTAGATAACATACGTAGCACTATAGTGCCACACGCGACAAACCCTCACTAGCACATCTAGAACACTACTATCTTTCTAACTGTGTAGTCCATATCCCAGTTAGTAAACTAGGCGCCGGACGAAACAAGCAACAAACTACTCTCCGTACTTTCCGTAAACAGTACTCTCCGCAGAAGCACCGGCACCAGCCCTCGGCGCTGACCGGCGGTCCGTTTAAAAAAGATCACCTCAGCTCATACGCGGCATCCTCGACCAACCAACACAAATCATTCAAACATGCCCCCAGAAAAACACCAAGCAGATGCTCAAAGTCCCCTGACCCTTGCGCGGATAAGTACTCATCCAAGCCCCCTATTTCGTTTTTTTTCTTCCCTCATCATCCGCGGAGAGAAGAGAAGAAAAAAGTGCAAACTATAACTAGTAAAGCATCGCCTGATCCCCCGCCCTCTCCCTCGAACCACGACCACGTAGTCAAAGCGTCGCGTCCAGAAAGCATATAGTAGTCCCAAAACGTCGACTTGCAGCGGCTGGTTCGGGAGCAAAGGCATCGCAGATGGAAGTGGGTCCATCCCCCTTCCATTGAGCCTCGCCGAGCGGTGCGGGCCGAGGGTAGGGCTAGCGCATCGTTCATAGCTGCTGCGTGAGTCCAGAATGCTCTTGAAGAGGGAGCTGGTGGCAGCGGTTAGGTTAAGCTAGGTAGGGTAAGTAAAAGAAAATGTTTTCTTTAGGGAAAGAGAAGGGGTAGGTTTCTAAGGGAGTTGATACGAGGGGGAAATGCTGTTTTGTGGGGTGATGAGCATAATGGCAAACTTTATACGCCGTTGCAAATGAGGCTGTGTATGTGTACGGGGGGTGACGATCACTACGATACCATCCCAAAGGTCGGAAGTCCAGAATTACTGGAAAATCAAAACTGAAGATTTCCAAAATTAGAAACCTGGATCTACTAAGATGCTGCAAGTGATAGGATGGATGATCTTCTTGAGACTAGATAGGAAAGTAAGACGGACACAGCGGGAGATCGTGACCCGCTGAGGTTTGTGTTAAGACGTAATGATCAATGCAGAGTATCGATCACGTGATCTGATATCCCGCGAAGTAGAAGTAATGGGATATAATGACGGATGGCTTTTCGTTGTAATTTACTCAAAAAGCCTATTGATTTAGCTGAGCTGGCTGATTCGACTGCACTGGATGCCCACCAAACTAGCTGAGCTGGCTAGAGCAATGGGTATCTGGAGTAGCTGGATCAACCAGACCAGCAAAATCAAAAAGCATCTGGTGCTATCAGAGTAGCTAGAATTCTGCTACCACCATTTGGACTCAGTTTTCACAGGGTCAAATTCCGATCTTTGTATTTTAATCGTCGCCCGTATACACATCTTTTCCGATTCCTGAAGATTAGGGTGTGGCCTGCCATTCTTTTCTGAGAAAAATACTCTGATAAGCTATATGCCAAACAGATATTCGAATTTTAGTCATACATATCCCTTAGTTCAGCGAAAAACTTTTACTACTAAAGATTACCTTACATACTAAAAGTCACATTTACTGCTGAAGAAGTTAGACATTGCCACTTACACTATCACTGCGGATCCACAAACGAATGTTCTTCTCTCACAAAATGCAAATACCGTTTAACACCCTAATTACCTTTTTCTTCCCTTCTATCACACCCTCTAACTTTATACACGCTACTTCTCACTAACTACATACTACTACAAATCTACGACGTTATGAACTCTCAAATTCACTATGGCTTACTTGTTCTCGGGAAATAGTTAATCCATTGATTTGTTCGATTACTTTTTCATTGATTTTCTCGATTTAATAGTCTGAGAAACGCAGTAGCGAAAGTATCCTTGTAGTTCAGAATGACGTCTTGGATTAAATTGAGTTGATTGTTCCCAAGCGTGTCTTAGTTTACTGAAATGCTTAGATGAAAACGACACCTACCAAAATAGCGCAATCTTGACCAGATATTATTTTGACTGCAAAGTTTTTTTGATACCCTATTCCGGCAGGTTGGGTTGTGGCCTGCCATTATTTTGTTACATAATCGGTCTGATATATTATACAGCAAACCGAGAGAGAAAAATCAAGCGACAGCAAACAGAGATAGATAAGTCAAGTCCTGTCCTTGATAAGGCATGATTGAACACCGGCATTATAGAACAGTATGGTTTTTTTCTTATAGTGTACTAGTGAATAGAGTTACTTATTGCTCAAGGCGAAACAATTGTCGCCCGAACCCTAGTGTAAGAGTAGGGCTTCCCGTATAGTAGAAGAATCATTATCTAATTTAATAGATTTTTGATCATTCTAATACACCTCTTGAGCTCTAAATATTCTTCTATTTCTGTACTGTTGACGTGGCGAAGGTATAGGTAAAGAAAAAGGTAAAGAAAGCTTCTCTTCACTATAGTAAGACACTCATGGCTCAACACTATCTACTCTCGTTAAATAACATATTCGTCTGTTCGCCAAACTCTGGTGATTTTATATGCAAACTAGATTTTATTGTAACTGCGTTGCGGTGAATGCGGATGACTGCAAGTGGTAGCTTTGTTTTAATGGTGGCTATGTTTCTTAATCCTGGTATTTCGGTTGAGCAATACGTTTACGGTTCAATGCGGAGGGAATGCGTCTCAAAGAATATTCTAGAGTGTATTTTGAGTGATGTAGGAGCACTAGAACGAACATGGGTCAAAGAGTAGGGAGAAAGTCTTGTCTCGAGCGATTATTTAAATTAGTATGGAGCGAGGACATGTGGTCATAATACTGGGTATCCATTTTTTTGTGATAATATTGAGCTCGGGGTCGTAGTCGCAAGGTCACATCCAACATGTTACAATCTGCTCACAAGAAAGGGTGTAGATGATGGTGTTGCTGGAAAAGAAGGTATGGTCAAAGACATGATGTCATCATCTATTCTTACCATCAGCTAGCTCAACCACCACAAAGATGCCCTTCTAGCGGTCAGCAGCCAGCAATCTTTCATACCTTATTCTTTTCCAAACGCTTTTCATATATAAGTGGGCTGAAATCATCTTCTGCGCAAATGGCAAAGTCATGTACGCTCTGTTCTACACCGCGCCCAGTGCTAGTCCGGTGCCAAATCGACTCGACGGAGAAATGGCATTTCGTATGCCCCGGAGCATGCTGGAGGGCGGTCTCTGGGGGTGTGGAAGACGCAAAAGGTCTCAAGGAAGAGTTTCCGTATTACCGTTATGGTGGCATGGTGAGTGCAGTTCCTGTGGTGCACAGAGATGGCGAGGGAAGCAGAAATATCAGGGCGGACGAAAGCTGACTCGGGGATACTTTGAAACAGTGGAAGGACAGGAGCGCAGATGGGCCGGTAAGCGCGAAGAAGCCGAAGAAAGTCAAGGAAAGACAGAGAGAGGAGATGAAGGCTATAGGAAGAAATGGTGGTGGTGCAGAGGGTGAGAAGGTTGATGCTGAGGTGAGTGAGGATGGTACTGCATTGGCCTAGAGTAAGCGAAGACAGGTTGGATTGGCATTGTCAGTGATGCCATTTTCTATCCTCTATTGGCGAAATGCTCGGGCATGTAGCTGGTCATATCAAAGTTCGGCGATGGTCGGATGAGGTGGGAATAGGTGAAGTAGCAAAGCCAAAGGGGCATGGTGCCGACTAGCTGGCGTGACGCACGACTGCAGGTGCAGCTGGCGCAAGAGGTGGAGAAAAGGCAGTTGGTGGTTGCTTCGAGTTTATTGAAAATATCTATTCTTGAGCATGTGCACAGCCCGCTAGGACGAGGGCGAGGGGATTTGGGACATCATGACGATGTTGGACAGGTGTTTAGTCGGGACGTCGTGTTGCTATTGATAGATCTTTATGCAGCGGGGCTCTGCCATCGGTCCCTTGAGCCCATGCACTTAGTCATTAGCGGGGGGCAGCTATCGCAAGCGCCCGGACCCGCGGCCCCGTTGAGATGGGTCGCATCCTTTGTGCAACGGGCCTGGGATTGGCGATGCAGCGTTTACTGGAAGAGCGACCTGCTGTGGTTGATGTCGGTGTTGTTGGTGTTGTTGTTGTTGCGCTGCAATTGGCACAAAGGCCGAGGCGGAAGAAGGGTCGGGTAGGGCACGGCAGGCCAGGATCGGGCTGGGGGTGGGCCAGGATGCAGACACAGGCTTTGCTGGTGATGCAACATTTTACATACATAGGATGGGAAAGGTCGAGTATAGGCATGGTGGTGGTTGCGGTAGGTCCGATGGTGGAGCCAACAGAGTAGTCCAACGTCAGCCACACGGCGGCCTTGGGCGCTACAAAGATGATCAGACGGTCGGGGTACAGGCAGGGTGGCAGCGCAGTAAGGGTCCTGTCGCGTGCGCTGCCAGGGACAGGAGCCAGGAGCTGGTTTCTGAGGGTGTAGACGTAGTCAGACGGCTGCTGCTAGTGCAGAGGGGAGATGTATTTCGAGAAAGGTGCATGGCCAGGGCGGCAGCGTAGACGCGGAGACCAACCAGCGCATCGACTAAGACGACTCTTTGGCTTTGCGAGTGGAATGTGAAACAAGACCCGGGGCCAGTGATAAAGTCGGACGTCCTCTCAGCGCTTGCGGAAACACTCGACAGACAGCAGCCGCCTTTTCCTTCAGTCCCGTGGCATTTCGCCCGCTCGACAGCGCCGCAATCTCTTTGACGCTGCACACTCACGCTCACACACACCCGCTGGGCCACATTGCCGTCGGTCGAGTGCAGCTAGTCGACGCGTCAAATGAAGGCTGGAGAGGCGTCAAACGAGCCTCGAACCGCTGAAGATCCGCCCAGAGAGGGTGCCGGCAAGCCTCGCGCGCACGCGCCTACGTAGCCCGCCCTCCGCCACCGTCGCCGTCCCGAGCCCCTCCAGCACACTCGACTTTTGAAACCCAAAGGACCCGCAGCCTCTGCTCCGACGTCTCCCCGGCTTGCACCTCGACCTCCTCTCCTGCCCTCGAGCCCCTCTTCCGCCGCCGCCGCCGCCGCAGAGAAAAAGCCTCCTCAGCAAGGCCTTCCCCGAGCCCACTCGCGCCTGCCGCCTGCCGCCTGCCGTCAGTCGCGCCCGCACCTGGCATTAGTGACTCGTGGCCGCCAACGTCACTCGTGCCCAGACCCGGGCTTCCTCTCGCTCGACTCTCACCAGAGCTTCACTCTTTGGCCCCAACGCCTCTCTTGCTCTCTTCCCTTGCCTGTCTCCTTCTCTTTCTCAAGGCCCAGCGACCCGCCTGTCCACCTCGGCTGTGTGCAGCGACCCACTCGGCTGGGACCGAATACCCTCAACAACACCCACCATACCACCCTGGCCCAAGCTGCCAGCGTCCCTCTTCGGTGGCAGGAAGACAACGTAGATGCAGTCGTCCAACAACGCCCCTTCGCCGCAACCACAGCCAAACATGTCGGCCCCCGCGCCCCTCCTTCGCCCGCCCATCCCCGGCGCACGCCCCGGGAGAAGAGGCCCGCCCTCGCTCGGCCTCTCCATACCACCCTCGCCAAACCAACGTCCCGTCACAAACGATGCAAACGGAAACGTCACACAGCCGCGTCCACAGCCACCCAAACTAAACATCATGACTCCCATGGGCTCCAACAATGCGCCGCACGAGGGCAGGCAGGGCCCCCGCGGCCTACCACCACTACAAATTGGCCCAGGCCTCTCCGCCTCGGGCTCGGGCTCGAGCGATGCCAGCGCCCATTCGAGGTCTGGTAGCTTTGGCGAAATGCCAGTAACCAGCTCGGCTTCTTCATACCATGCCGCATTGGGCTTTCCAGGCCTGCAGAAAGACCCTATTTCTGCCATATCACAAGGAGGCAGCGAGGGCGCACAATCCATGGAGCGTGTCAACAGCAGTCAGCCATTGCCAGATCTAGACGCCATGGCTGCGGAGAAGGGGCGGCCATTAGAGGTGGACGATCTCGATGATGCCGCATGGCGAGCAGCAAGTGCAAGAGGTCTGATAGAGGAAAAGGGCAGTTTGGGTGAAGGTGCTGGGGGAGCCGTCACCAAGTGCGTACTCAAGGGCGGCAAGACTACATTCGCTCTAAAGGTGCGTCATTTTCATTGTGCTTGCACATTGCGTTGCTAACATTTGTTCTAGATCATCACCACGAATCCCGACCCTGACGTTAAGAAGCAAATCGTACGAGAGCTATCCTTTAACAAGAATTGTGCTAGTGACCACATTTGCCGCTACTACGGTGCCTTTATGGACGACAGCACGGGAACTATCAGCATCGCCATGGAATTTTGCGAGGGTGGTTCGCTAGACGCGGTATATCGCGAAGTCAAAAAGCTTGGAGGCCGAACAGGCGAGAAGGTCCTTGGCAAGGTTGCCGAAGGTGTTCTGAATGGCTTGACATATCTCCACTCTCACCGCATCATTCATCGAGACATCAAGCCCAGCAACATTCTACTATGTCGGAACGGGCAAGTCAAACTATGTGATTTTGGTGTGTCTGGAGAGTTTGGAACAAAGGGTGATGCCAATACCTTCATTGGAACATCATACTACATGGCACCAGAGCGCATTACCGGACAAAGCTACACCATCACCAGTGACGTGTGGAGCTTAGGCGTGACTCTTCTTGAGGTCGCCCAACATCGATTCCCCTTCCCAGCAGATGGCACAGAGATGAACCCTCGTGCTGGTCTGATCGATCTGCTCACATACATTGTGCGGCAGCCCATTCCCAAGCTAAAGGACGAGCCTGAAAATGGCATCAAGTGGACAGAAAACTTCAAGTACTTCATCGAGTGCTGGTACGTACATGTTTCCCCCCCCCAAAAAAAAAGTATGATTTCCGCTTACAATTTGTAGTCTTGAGAAAGATTGCCCTCGAAGAGCCACACCTTGGCGGATGCTTGAGCATCCGTGGATGGTTGAGATGAAGTCCAAGAAGGTCAACATGGCACACTTCCTCAAGCAAGTATGGGACTGGAAGGATTAAACACATGTACCACCATCTTAGATTCGGCTTATGATGACTGTGTCGTCATATTATACTGCGCAGTGTCAAAAAGGCACTGCCAGTTCTGCACTGACCTAGGAGCAGCTTCTTTTGTACCTTCATTTCAATCGCCAGGTCGCGTGCTGGCATAAGATCACAGGCTGCCGACATACATACTCTTGCTTTGGTTGTCAAAACGGCTTTCTTCGAATTGGGGATTTATATATCAGGAGTCCTGAGATGTGGACGAGTATCATATGGGGAGGCCATACAAGATCTCAAAGGCACTGAGAAGTGGAGATTAATTGGGTGGTTGCGCTGGAGGAGTCCCATTGGCATTGACGGCGTCTGAGCGGTTCAGGTTGCATATAGCGGCATATCAGAAAATCGCGAATCTGGAGACGAACCATAGTTGGCCATGTAGTACTTCAATATGTATAACAATGCTCTTTTGAAAGTAGTGCGCCAAGTGACAGCCTGTCGATAGTCTCAGGTCTGGTTACTTAATTGAGATTAGTGCCTGATCCGGTCCGACACACCTCCGACAGGTGCTTTGGACGCTTGGAGTCATACCAAATAATTTACGCCGCAACCGCAGCCGGCCAATTGAGCACTTCGCGGAATCCAAGGTCCTTCTTAGCACGGATCCTTCACAGGCAACTAGCGCAAAAGACTCTGCGAATAGTTGACTCCCCACAATCTTGACGAGTCGCTCCCCACGCGCAACTACCCCTCCAACTACCCCTCCATTCACACCACACTGCGTCTGAAGTCTCCAAGATGCCGACCATCGCCGTGGACAAGGCTGCTCTCTTCAAGGAGTTGGGCCGAACATACACGACACAAGAGTTTGACGAGCTATGTTTCGAATTTGGTATCGAGTTGGACGAGGATACGAGCGAAAGCACAAAGCCCGAAGATCTGGCGCAACCACCACAGCTCAAGATTGAAATCCCAGCCAACCGATATGACATGCTTTGCTTCGAGGGTATTGCCATGAACTTGAAGGTTTTCCTGGAGCAACAAAAGCTGCCCAAGTGGACTCTGACACCGCCAAAAAGTGGAGAGTTGGAGGTTCTGGACATCAAGCCCGAGGTATGTCAGACTTAGGCCAACAAACGCCCCGTGGCTTCATAAGAAGATGATCTCTGACTATACATAGACCAAGCAAATACGAGAGCTTTGCTCAGGTGTCATTCTAAGAGGCATTACTTTCACAAAAGAACGCTACGAATCCTTCATTGCCCTACAAGACAAGTTACACTCAAACTTGGCACGCCAGAGGACGCTGGTATCCATAGGAACACACGACCTGGACAGTAAGTGGTATATGACAGGGTGTATGGTGCTGTGGCTAATGCGCGACAGCAATCAAGGGTCCATTCTCCTATGAAGCGCTACCACCAGAGCAGATCAAGTTCGTCCCCTTGAACCAGACCAAGGAGATGAACGCCAAGGAACTTATGGAGTTTTACGATGTTCGTATCTCTTATCTAGCCGCTTCTCACTTTGTCTCTAACGTGAAGCAGAAAGACAAGCATCTCGGACGTTTCCTGCACATCATCCGCGACTCACCCGTATACCCCGTCATCTACGACTCGAACAGAACCGTCCTCTCACTACCTCCTATCATCAACGGCAACCACAGCAAGATTACTCTGGACACGAAGAACGTGTTCATTGAGATTACTGCCACCGATAAGACCAAGGTTGAGATTGTCTGCCACATGCTCGTAGCCATGTTTGCTGGATATGCTGAATCGATAGAGCC